CGAGAGGCTTCACCAGAGACAGAGTGGGGAGCAGAACAGGCAGATCAATGAAGTACACTGCTGAGGGGAGCAGCGGGCAGGTTGGGAGATGTCTGCTGCGCCATGTGGTCACCTCCAGGGCAGGCGGGAATTGAACTCATGCGCAAGTGGCCTTAGCCTCTCAGTGCCGTGCTTTAACCCGCTGCACCACCAGGGAGGGCCCGATCTTTAAAATTTTAAGTATTGTCCTTTAATTTGAGCATACTTGACAGTTGTTTTAAAGTCTTTGTCTAGTAAGGTTAGTGTCTGATCTTTCTCAGGGACAGTCTGTCAGGATTTTTTGCTGTTCACTTGAATGGCTGAACTTTCCTGTTTCAATTTATGCCTTATTTTTGGTTGAAAACTGGACATTTGAATAGCACAATGTGGTAACTCAGCCAATCATATTTTCTTTTCCCTGTTCAGCATCCATTTGTCCAGTGTTTTTGCCCAACTAATTTGCAGAGACAATTATTTGTATGGTCAGTCACTGAAGTCATGTGTTCCACTTGTGTTAAGGTAGATTTTCTTGAGTACCAGGTTCTATTGCAGGTGACCAAGAACCTATTCTACTTTTGCACATTGTCTCTGTGCTGGGGCTCTCCTTCAACACCAAGCCACACTTAAACTGAGTTTAGGGATCAACACAAATTTGAAGCTTAGATCTTCTAAGGTCCTTTGTTTTGTCATATTGTGCTTTTGTTTACATTCATCTCAAGGTTGTTTTCCTCGTCTCCTTTTCTGAGCATGTGTTTAGTCCTAGGCACACCTTTGTCTTTCTAAAGATCCCTCTACATAAGCTCTCTTGCATGCCCTAATTTCCTTCATAGCTTTGTCCGCCCCCCACCTCCCCCCCCCTCCCCAACTAGGCCTTGGGTGATGTCAGTTGTAATCTTCTGCCCCAGGTGTCTGCAAGTTGTTCCTTTACCTTATAATTTTGATCAATCTTTGTTATGTTTCTGGTCTGGATGAGCTTGAGGTTGAGTGAAACAGACAGAAACCATGTGTCAGTGATTCAGTAGCCCCAGACAAGTTAGAACAGACCTATGTGATAATTTGTGACTGAGGTCTTCTGTGTTGCCTCTTGAATCAGGGAGAGTGTGTATAAAGTTTAATTAAAGACATTTCAAAGCGTTCCTTTGTTCATTTTCCTTCTGATTTAGCTTTCATTTGGTCATTGTAAACCTTTGCCTGATCTAAAGTTTTGACAAAGTTGATTCTGACAGTTTCTGCTTGTTATTGTTATTTCTGTTGGAGGATAAGCACTTGGAGATGTTTTTTCACTTTTTGTTGTGTAGAGAAAATATTTAACATTAGGAAGTTACACATACTGAAAATGCTTCTTGGTTCTACAATAAGTTCTCAATGGTCACATATCCCATTTAACCATGTCTGTCCCTTGTGTTGACTTGACATGGTTTCCTGTGTTTGCTCAAATTTCTTCCTCATTCTGTAGAAGCATCTACAGGTTCTGGTGTGGTACAATACAGACTTTCAAGCCAATTTTTTTTTAAAGATTTATTTATTCATTCATACAGAGCTAGTGTACAGGCCAGAGATGCGGAGGGTGAGAGGATTCACCAGGGACAGAGTGGGGAGCAGAACAGGCAGATCTACGAAGTACACTGCTGAGGGGAGCAGCGGATGGGTCAGGAGAGGTCTGCCACACCATGTGGATCTCCTTTGGGGCAGGTGGGGATTGAACTCATGAGGAAGTGGCTTATTAAGCTTCTTACTGCTGTGCTTTAACCCGCTGCGCCACCAGGGAGGGCCTCAAGCCAATTTTTTAAAAAAGCTGCTCAACTTGTTTTACAAGCTTTATCCACAAATACCTGGGATTTATCACCACCCCAGCTGGAATATGAACACTTGGTTGCCTTACGATTATTTGATGTTCCCCTGTCATCACACATATTTGTGCTAATTATGGCAAGGTAAGGGACTAGGTAGTAGGTTACTGTTACTTTGAAGAAAGCCTCATATATTTCTTTGACTTTTCATTGCATGTTACTAAAAATCAGCTTCACAGATTCACAAAGGACTCATTTTTCCCTTGTAGGAATTACGGGGTCCTCTGACAGGTCTGGGATGGTGCATGCCATGAGAAGGCCACAGGTTTTCCATTTCTGATTGTGGTCATTTCCCCAGGGATAGTGTTGGTCTTGGTTGTTGCTATTCATCTTCCTCCCCTCCTCCGCCCCCAGTTCGACTTTTTTATACTAGTCTTTTTTTGTATATTTTTTAGTTTCTTAATTTTGAGTTGTCTTCTCATTACTCAGATTTGTTATTTCAGATTCTTAATGTAGACTTTGAATGCAGAGAATGGAGGATAGATTTTAAAGATTTTTCTTTCATTAACAATTTATGTACAATAAAGTGCATTTTAAAATGCTGTTTTTTATGAGTTTGACAATTGTGTATCCCCCTTGTAATTACCATCTAAATAAGATATAGAACATTCCTAGCATCTCAGAAAATTTATTCAATGAGGGGGAGATTTTTCTTATTGGCCCCTTTTTGTAAGTTGCTTAGCTTTTTATGATTTCTAGAATTCTTTATATATTCTAGATGTTAGTCCCTGTCATTCTCATATCTATCTGTATATCTATAGATAACAATTTTTTTCCTTGCCTGTGACTTTCTTCTTCAATTAATGGTGTCTTAACGCTCATTAAAAAAAATTGATCAAATCCCTTTTTTTTTTTTTTAAAGATTTATTTATTTATGCACACAGAACTAGGGTATAGGCAGGAGGCACAGGGGTGGTGAGAGGCTTCACCAGAAACAGAGTGGGGAGCAGAACAGGCCGACTGACGAAGTACACTGCTGAGGGGAGCAGTGGGCGGGTCAGGAGAGGTCTGTCGCTCCATGTGGATCACCTCCAGGGCAGACGGGGATCGAACTCATGCTGTAGTGGCTTTAGCTTCTTAGTGCTGTGCTTTAACCCGCTGCGCCACCAGGGAGGGCCCCAAATCCCTTTTTTTTTAAACTTTGAAATCTCTTGTTCTATCCAAGATCTTTGCCTGTCACAAGGTTGCAAAATTGATCAATTTCCTTTTTTTAAAATTTTGAAATCAATCTTTGTTCTAAGATCTTTGCCTGTCGCAAGCCTGCAAAGATAAATCTGAGTTTCATGTTAAGTTCTACTGTCCTTTTTAAATTTTTGTGTCTAGTCTTTAGAGTGAAACTACATTTTCATTTCCTTTCCTGATATTTTTTTCCCTCACTGTTTGTTAAAAAGCTTCTTTCTTAGCAAATGCTCAATGAACACTTGTTGCCTAAAGCCAAGGAATGGAAAAAATGTTTTCAGTTTTAAGTAATCAAACTATTAGAAATAATAGTATGTAAATAATTAAGTAAAATTAGAAACTTAATTCCTCAGTTGTGTGAGCCAGATTTCCAGTGCTCCATAGCATATGTGGCTCATGGCCATTCTGGCAGAGAGGTTTCCATCTGTGAGTACATACGTGTCATTGTAGATACCCTTTTATTGTAGTATAGATGTTTCGTTGAAATCCTAGTCTTACTGCTAGTTTTTAACTACAAATGAATACTGAATTTTGTCAGAATTTTTTTGAGATGACCCTGAGTTTTCTTCTTTGATAATTTCAACCTTGAATTCCTGGGCTGTACCAGTTAGTTATTATGCATTAGTGTTTTGTATCTTTAAAAAGATTTATTTATGCATACAGAACAGGCCCAACATGAGGAGGGGTGAGAGGATTTATCAGATAACAGTGAGGAGCAGAACAGGCAGATCTATTGAAATACATGATGAGGGGAGCAGTGGGCGAGACAGGAGAGGTCTGCTGGCTATGTGGATCAACTCCCTGCTGGGGATGGAACTCAATGCTGCAATTGCTGTGGATAGCTTCAGTAGTGCTGTGCTTAAACCTGTTGGACCACCCGGAGGACCCTGCATTAAATGTATTTTTATGCATTGCAATATTTGATGACTAATACTTAGGAATTCTGGCCTGGGTTCATGAGGGTCTACATTCTTCTCTTATAATATCCTCTTGTCTGGGATCACAATGATGTTGATCTCATGGAACCTGTTAGGAACTGTTTGAGGAAGGCAGATTCACTAGTGATTGAGCTTTGTCTTTGCCACTTTAAGTCTCCTTTAAGTCTTACAACTATGGTAGGAGGAACAATATTTCTATTTTGTAGGAGAGGAAACCTCAGGCTCAAAAAGGAAAAGCAACTTGCTAAGGGGCCATAAGCTGTAATCACCAGAGCCAGCAACTGACTCCAGGTTATGGAGACTCATCAAGACCAGATCCTTAGTGATCCCTCCACTGCTGGGGCAGGGGCCAGCAAGCTGTACCTCTAGCTACTGTCCTTTTCCCTTGGCCGGGCAGAGCCTGGCTGCCTGTGCTGGGCTGTACCAGCAGGCAGGCTCTGCTAGCCTCTGGGGCTAGGTCACTCCCGGGTCATGACCAGGTCTCTTCTCCTGTCTACCTGTGTGGTGGTGTTTTTTTTTTTTCCCCTGGAGTGTGAAGGTTCTCTTTTCCCTTTTTCTGATAGGAGACTTGGGTGCTTCCATTGACACTGGCTCTGGGTGGTTGCTGAGCGCATATTCCCATTGTGGGTGGACATTAAATTTAAAATTGCCCAGAAACTCAACATAGATCATCTCTCTCTTTCTAGGATGTTTGGATATTAATTCATCTGTGAAAGGAGCTCGTTTTGTTAGATTCTGTGATGCATTCAATATTCCACTTATCACTTTTGTTGATGTCCCTGGTTTTCTGCCAGGTAAGTCATTGGCACGTGGGGGCCAGGAGAGGTGACTTTGCCAAGGGAGGCACCCACTTAATTTGCAGATATTGCTAAATTCCCTAGGGATTTGTGGCTTTTCCATTTTCCAGATGTCTCTATAGAATTATGTGAGGCATGGCCTTGGCCTGACCCTTTGGGGGGCAGGGCAAGACCTCATGCCTTGAGTGTGGCAGGCAGACCTTGTGCGGGTGTACCTAGTAACGTCTCCTCATGACCTAGGCACGGCACAGGAATACGGGGGCATCATCCGGCATGGCGCCAAGCTTCTCTACGCGTTTGCTGAGGCGACCGTGCCCAAAGTCACTGTCATCACCAGGAAGGTGAGGAATTCGTGGAGGCTGGGGGTCACCTACTCAGCAGCTCGGTCATGAAGGGAGTTCTTGCCAGTAGTATCAGCAGAGCTGAAGAAGGAGTGCACCTCACTCAGCCTGAAATTGAGTTCTTGGAGACAGCATTTACAGCCCTGCAAACTCACCCTACAGAGAGTTCCTTCATTATCTCTGGTAGCTCAATGCAGCAGTGGGAAAAAGCCAGGACAGGTAATGAACAGTAACTGAAAAGTGGCCAGGCTGTGCCAGATATTATATGCTTCCTCTCCCTGGTCCCCAGACATTGGGCCTTCAGTAGCCCCCAGGGCACTTATTTCTTGGCTCCCTTGTGTACTTCAGAGATGATCTGGATGACTCATTCAGCATTTGGGTCTGTTCTAGGCCTATGGTGGTGCCTACGATGTCATGAGCTCCAAGCACCTCTGTGGTGACACCAACTATGCCTGGCCCACTGCGGAGATAGCTGTCATGGGAGCGAAGGTGAGTGCTCCAAGCTTTACCTTTACCTGGTCCAGGTACTGTATCTCCTAGGAAAGCGTTCAGCCAGGAAATGCTGGAGAGAGGTCAGGGTCCTACACAGTGCTAGGACTCCAGAGAGTTGTGGCCTACACGTTGGCAGCCCTCCTCCTGGAACCACAGGGTCAGCGCTGCGCTTGTCCTGCAGTCTCCAGCCAGCTTTTCATGCCCAGGGTAGGAGGGGGCTAGAGTGACTTAGGGAATTTTCAGCAAAGAGGGAAGGGTTCACTCAACTAAACTTTGGGAGGACTGGATATCCCCTCCCAGTGAGAGCCCCAGAACCACTCCTTCCAGCCATGAACTGGAACTGTAGTTCTGACCCTGGCAGCGTTGGGCAAGATAATTTCCTGTTGGTCAGCCGATTTCCCATTCTTTTCCTGCTTTGAAAAATAATTGTTGGGATTGAACTAGGTAACTTAACAAGAGCAACTAAAGCTGACTTTTAGGGAGTCTGACATGGAGGTCCACCTTTCAGTGCATCCTACTGATACATTTGCAGCTCAGTCTGTTCTCCTGTGGCTACTGTTTTGCATACTCAGGGATCAGGATAGTGAAAAAAGAAAACAGCATTTTCTTCCCCTAGGTCTGGGGAACCATGTATCTATCTAATGTGGAAAATAGGCCAAACATCATGGCTTCGAGAAAGGATATGCACTGTTGCGGGGAGGGCGGGTAGGATGGAATCTGGGGAGACAAACCTCTGGCTTTGCCTGAGCTGCCATTATTAGGGTTACAGTTGAGTGTCCCATCACACTAACCCTGGAATCATGATGTCCTATACCTGGGGGCCCACACTTCTGTCTAGTATACTTTACCTACAAATTCTCAACTGTACCTGGTGGTAGCTGTGAGGGAGACCTGTCTAGGTTGGGACCTCCATTAAAACTCACTAACTCCTTTTGTGACAGGGCGCAGTGGAGATCATCTTCAAAGGGCACGAGAATGTGGAAGCTGCTCAGGCAGAGTATATTGAGAAATTTGCCAATCCTTTTCCTGCAGCAGTGAGAGGTAGGGCTTGTGATGGGGACAGCTGCTATGTTCATTTGCACTTATATTCCAAAGTCTCACATAATTTTAAGCCTTTACAGTCAAATTTGGAGGCTGGTAAAGGTTGGGATTTTCCCAGGGCATCATCATCACTAAAGAACAGTTGGATTTTTATGGGCTGCTTTGGTAACCATGATCAAAACAAGTAGCCGAAAAGGCTAAATTTCTTAGTGCTGGTACAGTTACTAATACTGTGTGAAAGTCCACACCAAACAGTGACTTAAGACAGCCATCTTCCTCATCCTTACCTTTGACCCTGCCGTTCAGAGGGTCATTGATTTGCTCTGGTTTAACTGATTGGTTCTTCTGCTGGTCTTGCTTGCAATTAGTTAGGCAAGTGTAGCTTCTGGAGGCTTGACTGAAAGTCATCTGCTTGCTTGTCCATGCTTTTTACATGGTATCCTGTGGGCAATGAGAGGCGAAGCTGTAAGGCCCTTAAGGCCTCATTTTGGAGGTTGTACAGTGTTACTTTTGCCACATGCTATTGGCTAAAACAAATTACAGAGTCATGTGAAGAAATAGAATCCACTTCTTGATGAGAAGAGTGGCAAAGTGGCACTGCAGAAGGGTTTCTGTCTAGGGGAGCTACTTTTTCAATTACAAGTGTATTTTTATAATTTTATTTCTTATTTTAATCATCTTGGCAGGGTGTAGGTCATATTTTCCTTTCATTGCTAAATGTTCCTAGGCTGGAAATTATGGACCTGCTAGAGAAATAGAGTTCTTGGGATGCAGAAGAGGGCTCATAGGCTTAATCCATTTTCACACTACAGGCCTCAAAGATGGTGCCTGGTGTGTGCATGCAATTGAGGGCTAATCTCAACTGGGGATAGAAATGACCTACTTCTTTTTCTTTGCTTCACCAGGATTTGTGGATGACATCATTCAACCTTCCTCTACACGTGCCCGAATCTGCCATGACCTAGATGTCTTGGCTAGCAAGAAGGCACAACGTCCTTGGAGGAAACATGCCAATATTCCATTGTAAACATGCCAATATTCCATTGAAAGGAATATTAGCCAACAACTGGTTACCCCCTGGTCATTGGTACGCATCCTGCCTTTTGCAATCATGAAATCTGAGACTCTAAATACTAGTTACAATTTGGAATTACTTAAGTATTATATGCAAGACTAATTTAAGCCATACTGTACAATCTTTAGTGCTATTAAAATTCTTAACTTTTTTGAGCATAAATTTTATACTTTATGGTAAAAATCTGAAAAATTGAGAACAGTATATGCTAATATCACTGGATCTGACCTTTGATAACGCTGTGTATTATCTTCTTATTTCTGCCAAGAATCAGTTTTTCTCCATAGGTGAGTTATAAGTTTTTAGGGCAGTGTCCTTATCTTTAAATAATATTTAGTTATACACTAATTAGATGAGATGTTTGCAACTCTGTATTTAGCAGGATACTTTCAGTAAGGTGTAGTACTCTATTAAATTCTTAGAAATTTATGCTCAGATTGAAAAACAAACTTTATTTTGGAAGCTTTTTAACCTCTAGAAATGTTGGAAGACTCGCACAGCAAACCCCTGGAGACTGAATAGCTCCTCGCCTTTCCTTTCAATTGTCCCCTGTATTCTGCTGGCCTCGGACTCCTCTTAGGCGCGCTTTCAATTTGTCTTCAACTAGATTCTCAGTTTAAACATAATTGACGTTTGTTTCATCTTTTCCATAAATACTTGATTTTTGTCAATTAATCACTTGAGAGTAAAAGTTGCAGAATCATGATTCTGTCCCTCAAAATGTCAATGTTTATTTCCTAGGAAACGTCGCTCATTATCTTTTGGGACAATGGCACGTGGAAGTGTTTTGCTTCTTATTCTGTAGAATGTCTTTCAAGTTGGCTTTGTGTGGTTTTCACATGTGTGGGTTCAGCTAAGAGCATAACACATTAGTGTTTTTCCTGCATGTTACATTAAACACAGGATGCTAGGTTTGCCCATGATTGATGACATTGACTGATCACTTGGCTGATCACAAAGTTTACCACTTTCTCTTTGTGGTTAATAACTAATCTGGGTGGGAGCATTTTTAAGCTTAAAAAGCTTGAAGTACTTTTAGTATCCACTGATGATTCTTACCTCTCAGCTTCTTTACGTTGACTATAAAATGTTGCATTTCTATAAGACTTTATTTTTGTAGTTCTTGCTTTTAACATGATCAAGTAGCTTTGGGTGATACCAATTTGAAAAGTCAGAGTCCTTTTTGTTATAGATCACTTTATAGAGTCCCTAACCACCATCACTTTTTACTTTATTTTACTGAGCATGTGAAGTATTAAAAGTTATACCAGATTTGGAGATTTTAGGTAGCTTCAATATAAGTCTAACCATGGATTGCTGCTACAAGTTGTCCCTATGAGATGTGATTTTTTTCTTTCTGTATTGCGAGCCTTGTGTTTCCAGCTTTCTGGGGATTCTAGATGCTTCTGTGTTTGTGGATTCCTTGGCCCTTGACTGTGGCCACCTAAGCATTCAAAGCCATGTTTTTAGATGAAGGAAAAACAAAGTTGTTTTTTAGAGACAAAATGTAAGCACACCTAAGGGGAGGCCGAGGCCAGCAGAAAATAGGGGACAGCTGCAAGGAACAGCGAGGAGCTGCTCACTTAAATGGGGGGCTGGAGACTGCTCGGTCTCTTCCTGGGGTTTGCTGTGCAGGCACTCCCAGGGTGGTGGATTAATGGTGGAGGGAGAGGTCTGCCTTCCCCTTTGTAACTTCTCCATCAGCCTGCCTGTAGTTGGGTAAAGGACTGCCTTTGGCTTCTGAGTGATTTTTGACTCCTCCTTCTCCCTGGTTTTATCAGCTCTGGCAGGTGTCTGCTGGGGTCTTGGGTATAACTGGTTATTTTTCTTTCAGGCTTTGCCTTCCCTGACTTTTTCTTCAGACCCTTAGCTCACACTGACTGGAGGTTGCAACATGTCAAGCTGAATTTGACCTAAACCAGTGTGTGACTATTACCTATTTTACCCAACAGCTACCCAGCCATTTCTGAGGATTATGCCTTTGGAATTTGCTCTGAGTCCTCTTGTCTGTCTTCTTCTCTAGTTGAAAAATGGGACTTCCAGTTGGACTGTGAATGTTTATATAACTCTCCAATGGTTTCTCCGACCTCCTCTTATGCCAAGTTATCTTGTTCTAATAGACTTCATTCCATTTTGTTGCATCCCTGTGCTCTAGCACCATAGTGAATACTGTCCCACTCTCCAAAGTCTTTAGCCTGTGTAAGATATCTTAATTTTCTTTCTTTTGCTTGCTTAGTTTTCTGAGCCCAGTTTTGCTACCACATCCTTGGAACTCATCTTGCTCTGAGTAGCTGTCTCTGGTTTGTTTTTCTTCAATTTAACATCAGGGGTGGGGGGGGGGAGGCTTTTACGTTTTTCCTAATTAGTTTATAACTTCCTATGAGCTCCTTTGTACTCCTGTTTGACACCTAATTCAGAACCAACAGAGACTGTAAGCTATTGGAAACTGGGGGAGGTAGCACCAGACTACTAGGCTTTCAGAGACCCTGGCAGTTTGTTTAGAATGTGGCGTAACAGCTTAAAATTGCCCAGCCAGTCCACTATTTGGGTCAGCCAATTTAGATTCGACTGTTGGGGCGGGGGGTGGGGGGTGACTCTGCTATAGTACACATGAAGACATGTTTTGTTTTTGAGGAAGGGATTTATGAAGTGTTTTACTAGTTTGTGAAATATGGTCACTTGAGAGGGGCTGTGTCTGGACATGCTGTAAGATGTGGAAGAATTAAGCTCAATAAAGCACCTGACAAGAGGCTTCTGGGAAACCTTGGAGATGATGGAGAAATCTATCCAAAAACCAAGTTGGTGGTTAAAGAAAAGTGAAGCTGCAGAACTGTAAGTTTTGTCAAGTACATTAGCCACAGAATGTTTTAAGGATAATAGCAGACCATTCTCGGTGGCTTCTTGGTAAGGCCTTTCCTAAGTCTGGTGACCTTACCATAAAGGAAAGGAGAAAACGTTCCATCTCATAACCAGAGATTCTTAAGCTGAGGAAATGGTGTGTCTGTAGATTTGAGCGGATATGATTAGTTGTGATGGAGGTAAGCAGCACTCTCAGGGTCTTGCTGGACCTGCCTCTGCCTTGGATTATAAGCAAGCTAATTTATACCGAGTGATCCAGCTAATGAGTGGTGAAGCTAGAACTTAAACCTGCAAGGTCTGTTTGAAGGTCTGTCATCTAACTATTCAAGACTGCTACTGCCAACTCAAGTTGGGATGAATTCCTAAGAGATAGGGTGAGAGAGGTGGTGGTCTGTTCCTCTGGAACTGTATCTCCAAGAACCCAAAGCTACTAAATTTGTAAAGTTTTACTACCACATACACGGTGGCAAGTTACTGTCTTTGAGTTGCTAGAGAAATGAGGTGCATACTCACAATGTAGTATTCCAGGGCTTGTTTGCCAAGTTTTACCAGCTTTTCTTCTTCCTAGGTCTTGATCTTACCACTCCAGTACTGTGCTTTTCAATGCACTGATGCTTTTTATTGGTATTGGTGCTTCAAATGCAGTCTGCCCAGTTAGCGAAGCCTATGAAGGACACTCAACTGTATGCTCAGTTAACACTCTTGATGTTGGAGGTTTAGTAAATGTGTTTTATGTCCTGGTTGAAAAGACATTTGGAGAGCTATAGTGCCAGAGTTGGAGCATGTTCCTACTGTTCTGAATGGTGAGAAATACCTCCTTTATATGTCCTTGAGAACAAAGCTGCTCTTCAAAATGATGCCTGAGAAGAGACCCTACAGAGCAAAGCATGCAGGAGGGCAAGAGTGGGCTCTTACCCAACTTTAGTCTTACATGGGAAGTCTGAGTAAGTGCTAGACCTGTTTCTCATGAAGACAATGATGAGTTCTTTCTGGGAGTAGGCCAGAAAGAAAGTTGCAGTCAAGTCACAGCTAGGAAGTTTGTCCCAAGGTAGTCACACATGGGTAAAGCCTTAGTCTCAAAGACCTGTAAGATAATCTGCCAGATGCAGATCCGCCTCATGCCTTTCTGCCTTAGGTGCCAAGAGAACTCACCTGATGATTTAGCCTCTGCATCTCTGCCTTTTTTGCATGGACTTCTTAAGCCACCTAATGATCACAGCCGACAGAAGATGGCCAGGCTCATGAAGCGTAGGTCTTTTTATGAGAGAAACTCTTGTGTTGGCCATGTATAATGCAGGCAATCTTTAAAGGGACTCTACTAGGGGTAAAACCATGATATAAGCCCAGGGACTGAAGTTCAGGCAGCAGAAAGATACAAACTAGTGGATAGTCCTTAATGCCTCCAAACTCAGCCTGCAACAGACTTTGTCTTGAACCACAGACTGCTTGGTCTATCTTTCTCCAAGAGATGAAAGAAAATTTAATGCACTTGTCTTAATTTTTTCTAAAAACAAACAAAAAACTCCCTGCCATCATTTAACAAGCTTAGAGCAGAAAATCATCTTTAAGGCTTTACCTATTAGGAACAATAGGATGACTACCACAAACCTGATTTTGAATAGTTTATTAAAGGAAAGGTGAAGCATCAGTTTCAAATTGTACAAAAGGAAAAAAAAACCTCATATTGCAAATGTACAATTTACAGAATTACTAGCAAAACCAATCAAGGAGACACTGAAAATACAAAAATTTGATTGACTTCAAACTGAATTGGAAACCCATTGGAGTAGATAGTAAGCCTTTTTTTGTGGCATGGTAGTCTACAATTCTAAGTCAGCATCTGTTTTCCACGAGACTGTCAAGCAAAGGATCAATCTGTGCATGTGACAGGGTATTTCCTGTTTTGCTCTCTTGCCAGAACCACAGGCAGGCAGGGCTGGTGTGGTGGCCAGTCTAGCCATTTCTGCCCTTCACTTCCATGAAGCCCACATTTCTTGAAGAAATTGAGACCCCAGCCTCCTAACTGGAGCCCAGGAATCACTAAATTGATTTTTGGTGACCAACATTTTTCAGAACTAAGTGTTGAGAAGAATCTGTTTTGTGTTTGTTTACTAAAAGGAAGAATAAAATTTTGCTTTCCTGCACAAAAGAGAATCCACTTGGGTACACAGATTTTTTAAAAAAATGCCTGTCATTTTTGGTATAAAAGGAAAGCCTCATGCTTCTGTTGCAGCTTCTTTAAAAAACCTGCCCAGAAACAGCTGTGGATGAATTGTTGGGAAATTCTGAAGCTGGCTTTAAAAATCAGAAGGAAACTAAGTGGACTTTGAAAAAGAACAATAGCAGCAAGTCATAAAAGTCTAAGCAGAATGTAACTCTAAACCATTGATGGCTGTCCTGAAGATTCATAATTTCTTTCCCCAAAAGACTTATTTTTAATATGCACATTTAACACTGAAATGTAGCTGTATTTCAAGGTAAGCTTGAACTTCACCCTCTAAGCACAGACTTCTATGTAGCACATACTTCTATCATTGGTAAACGTAACTCACAAAATCAGCGCATTAAGGGTAATAAGTGCATGGGAAGTAGACACAGTAATGTTACACGTAAAATTACTTTTAGATGGCAAAGGAGTTCCTCATGATTACCTGTTTAAGAAAATTGAAGTCAATGTAACTTGAATTTATCAGGGCATGAAATAAGTGATAAAAACAGCAAACTGATAACTTGAGAACCATTTTTGTTTTACTGAGAATACTTTATTTGCTGGTAGAAGTTGCTAAAAATGCACAGAACAAATACCAATAGAAAATGTACTGTATTTGAATCTCCCTATTCTATATAAAATGAACGTGTACAGCATCTGTTGGAAAAATGGCTGTGTGGACATTTCTTATTTTATGCCCCCTTATAAATAAAAATAAACCTTTTTATTCAAGAGTATATAAAATCTGGGAATCCATATCCACAGAGGGTGTGCGGTTTTTGGCAGAGATGCACTGTCAGAATTTCATTTTAGCTTGTCAATATTCTGCTCCCCCACATTTCTGTGTTCCACAAGGTCAACCAAATCCAGTGAGCTCCAAAACACTCGTCGGCAATTAGGATGAGCTGCTTACTCATAGGTTTAATAAAAATGGTTAGCTTTTAAAACATAAAAAGGCAAAATGTTAAAACAGTTTTTAAATTGTACAACAGGAAAATAAAGTTAAAAATACTTTTTTTTTTTTTACTCAATGCTGAGTTTTCATAAAACAGGTGTATAACAGTGTTTATCTTGACAGCTGTTTTAAAAATTTAAAATTTCTTCCTCCCTCCAGAAAAACACACACATCTGTATTGGGATAAGTCCAATGTTAGGACACAAATGATTTTTCAGGTCAGTCTTTCTGAGGTGACATTCACCAATATTTCCTTGGGTAATTTACATGCTCCTCTTCTGTCACTGCAAAAAGGGATTGACCCTCAATCATTTGATAACAAATCAGATCACATCAAAAGTGTTTTTTTTTCCCCCACACAAGCTATCACAGTATATAGGCCTCTAGCTCTAAATAATAGAGTTCCAGATTTGTAAATTTTCTTCAGGCTTCAGAACATAGGCATTCCAAATCCCTAGAATGAGAAATAATCATTAATTTCATGCATAAACAAGATTCAGAAATCATAAATAAAAAAATAGTAATAACACTCACTGAATCGTCTTCTATGATAGCTGCAGAATCAAAGAAATCTGGCCTTAGCTCAGCTCTCTCACGCCGATTTCTTGATGGGGGCTGGGGAAAAAAAGCCAGCTGTTAGTTTTCTGAAAAACATTGACAACTGAACTAAGCAGCAAATATGTCTGATGGTTCCCCACAGAAGATACAAACACAGGGGAAAGATCATATTCAGACAAAAAAAGCAGAGAAGCCTTGGAATGAAATCAACCTTGCTCACACCTGCTCTCAGACTTTGTCTTCAAAATCATAAAATTTCATTTTTAAGCTATTGAATCAGTAGTAGTAGTTATGGTAGTCCTATCAAATTGACAAAACTATGACCCGTTTGCCCTCCCATTCCCCATGTACCTCCATCTTAGGTTTCTGTTTCACTGGTTTTCCTTCAAGTCATTTCACCTATAAAATATGTATCCCGAATTGATGGACACTTACCCCCTCCCCAACTGATATTTACTGAGTTGAAGTTGGATTACATTATATCTTTAAGGGGTTAACAGGTTTAAACCTCTAAAAATGCATATTCTCATACCATGCTAACCACCAGTCCCCCGAAATTGCTTCACACTGTGTTCTATGGGCTTTCTTCCCTCTTGCTGCCTCAGTTTTATAGTCAGATGTTAATAACTTATTACGAGTATTATTTCCACCGACTCTTGTTTCTCTGTGTAAACCATCTGGTATTTGTCTTTCTCCTACTTATTTTGCTTAGCATTATCCTTCCCAAATATTAAGATGGAAAATTTTTAGATATCCAATCACTAAACATTACTATTCTTGGTAAAGTCAATAACCTCATGATATCACTTGTACTTAGTTCACACTGACATTTATTTACTTCTTAGATGTCTTTTCAATTGAACAAATAAGTTCATATTCTGTTATTAGGTTGTTATGGTAGAACACTGTATTGTCATGCTCCAGGAGGTCAGGTACATGTACTATCTTGAAACTTTTTCAAGAAGGTATTAAGAAGGAACCAATTCCTATTACCTGAATTAAAAATCTGCCTGCTTTGAAAGCAGGCTTAAAAAATTAAGCTCATTTAAATGCCAACATGAGGCCCTCCCTGCTGGTGCAATGGGTAAGGATGCAGCACTGCAAGCTGGGCACAGCCACTTAAGTGCATGTTCTATCCCTGGCCCAGCGGTGATCCACCACATGGCACGGCAGACCTTTCCTGAACTGCCTGCTGCACCCCTCAGCAGTGTACTTCGTCAATGACTGTTCTGCTCCCCACTCTGTCTCTGGTGAATCCTCTCAATGCCCTTGCACCTCTGGCCTATACCCCAATTCTGTATACATAAATAAATCTTAAAAATGCCAACATGAGCAGTGTTACACTGACCCTTCCCACTGCTGGTCCGTGTTACTGACTTCCCTCCTTAACTTCTCCTCCCACAGGAGAAAAAAGTATTGAATTTTCTTACCAGATCAATAACCATGGTGTCCTCAAATTCTTCATTCATATCTTCTAACTGGCTCCGGGATGACATCATCACATCTTCAAAAATGGGCTCAGCATCTTCCTCCATTAGGCCCCGACTGATAAAGAAAAGGCACAGTTAGAAAATTAAATTCAGACCCAGTGGAGTATTAGCTCTTAATACTCTTACACATCTTCTACTGAATGAATGCATACCTTCCAAATACAACCTATACACTTCACAAACTATATGACACTGAGCACTAAAATTAGTAATCACTGATTTTGTTCACTCAAGATTTCTTCTTAGCTTATTGAAAGGAAATATATATATATATATATTTGGAAGTATAATTTAAATGCAATAACAAGTAGCAGTTAACATTTATTTCATGATGTGTTAAGTCCCATGAAATGGATTTACCAATTATTATTATTAAGATTTATTTATTTAGGCATACAAAACTGGGGTACAGGCCAGAGGTGCAAGGGTAGTGACAGGATTCACCAGAGACAAAGCGGGGAGCAGAACAGGCAAATCCACTGAAATACACAACTGAGGGGAGCAACGGGCAAGACATGTGAGGTCTGCTGTGCCATGTGGGTCACCCCTATGGCCTGGGTTTGAACTGGTACTGAAGCTGCTGTGGCCTGCTTGTAGTGCTGTGCTTTAACCTGTTGCACCACCAGGGAGGGCCCTGATTTACCAATTATCATCCTAGATTTACATGTTAGCAACCTGCAGCACAGAAGGTTTTAGAGTTTGCTCAGGGCAACACAGCTGCAAGTGACAGCACTAGGATTTAAATGCTGAAAACCTCAAGAACCTGTGCCTCTCTCCTATCCTACTCTGCACATATCCTCAGATTTAATTTTAACTCCTAAGACCAAATACCAGAGAAACCCAAATCATTCCACAAAATGACCAGCCAACAGTTACTGTTCTTGTGATACTTGATGTAACACTTACACAGCATGCCTTACTCCAGTTCTCACTTTCATGTAGTTCATTCCTGTTCTGTCCTTCCGATTTAAATCTTCTAATTTTGGTTGGCCTAACCAAGAGATCTGCATCTGAGGACTAAGAAAAGGTACTATTACTCATTTTGGGCAACAAATGATGAATTTAGTTAATCAATCCCTTGCCAAGAAGGCCATAGTTAGCTGGCCTAATCTTGATGTAGTGGGATTTAACTGGATTTATTACTGGACCAAAGCAAGATCATTATAAAAAGGTCACCTTTGTAGATATGGTGGTTAAGTTGTCCAAAGAGATCTCAAAAGTATCTATGGAAGTTGGTTATAGTTAGTCATTAGGTGTGAAGGAAACCAGAATGTCACCCTCCAAAAATGCCACTTTGAGACAAAAAAACTTGAGATATAGGTAGTTAAGATCTTCGAATGCAGAAAATCTCCCTTTTCTGGAGCTAACTTCCCTATCAGCACAGAGATGGCACCAGAGGAATATGCAAACAAGCCCTGCCAAACTAAGCCTATTTAAGGGTGATAAGGGTTACCTCTAGCCTAACCCTTTTGCCTTGACAATTCTTCACAAGTTTGCCTAAAAGATCTAAAGTGAGTGTTCTGCTCACTTTTTCAGGTCTTCATGCCCTGTGGAGGCTCCCATGGGCATATAAAAATTCAATGAAATTTATGGTTTTCCTTCTGTTAATCTATATACAGTTTAATTTTCAGATCCACTCAAGGAATCTAATTGGCTGAGAAAAACTTTTACTTCTCAGGTGAAGCTAATTAAAGCTATTATTTTAAAACAGCTTTGTTTGCCAGTCAGTGTCAAAAGAACTCAGATATCTGTGTCTAGCTTTTTCCATAAGCATAAGTGTTCCAGTTGGACAGCCAGTCTTCAAGGTATAGAAATCTGCTGGCCTGGTGACTTAGAGCTCTCAAGAGTTGAACAAGGAAGGGTATAAACACAATTTTTTTTCAGTTACTTCTGAGAGCTGGATTTAAGTGTATGCTGGCCAAATCCTCACCTGCACTCTATACTTGCTGGTACATGGGCACATTAACTTAATATAAAGTGTTTGCAAACTTATATAATCTGTTATTTAACTTCTCTCTTTATGCTTGTTTTCTCATGAGTTGATCAATAATATACTCTAATGAGCAAATAAAATTTTTCTTCAGTAGTTCCACTTTCTATAACAGTTAAAGGTGTTATACCAAGGAAATTAATTTTTACTTACTTGTGTAAAAAGTCGGGTTCAGAACCATGTTCAGACTCAGGTTCCTGAATCTGTTCTCCCATGGGCCGACTATTCTCTCGCAGTACAGTGGAAGTGAGCTGTGGTGCTGGCAGGGGGCCAGGAGTCTGAATCATAGTGTCAGTCCTATTTAGCCATGTGTTATCCAGACTTTCATCTGTAAATTTCCAATTAAGAGTTGTAGACTGTCATATGTGCAATAAACTCTGGTAGAAGTCAGATTGACAAGCTTGAATCCCAGCTTACCACTCATGATCGTGTAAGTTATTAAATTCCTGAAATCCAGTTTCCTCATATACAAAATGGAGATCTAGTAACTAACCTATGGAGTTGTAAGGATTAAGTGAAACAATGTATAAAACCATCAATGGTTAGCTGTCCTCATTTCTTCCAAGTTCCTTCCATTTCTAAGGATTAAGTTGACATAGAAGGGGAAGAATGAGACCAGCCAGACATCCTTAACTTTTCTCTGCTCAAGAGTAAAGGGCCTATTAGTGGGCCTGACAGTGCTCTAGGCAGTAGCCTACGCTACTCTTTAGTCTGGCTGCTGTTTATTGAGAAATCATAATTCCTTTTGTGTAATTGGTTACTATAGAAGTAACTGTTTGCCAGGTTAGACACAAGGGGATGGACTGAGGGGCTCACTATTTTCATACCTCTAAGTGCCACCTATTCAGAGATATCTTCCTTGGCAATCCTACTTACCATTCTCTTTTAATCTTTAAAAAGAATCATTTCTGCTCACTTTGTACTTCATTTTACATATTCCTGCATTGTTCTGTCATCTATATACTTAGATTCAAGTTTCCTCAAAATATAGGAGCTGTTTTCTGAAGATCATTCAGAGACTTTAACAGATTAAAGCATTATTTATATACCTAAACTAGGCTGAAAAATATAATTAGTAGTTATATATATATTGTTTAAAATATATACTTCCTACCTATAAAAAACCAACTATTTTCTTAACATGTGAAGACTTAAAAGTTATCATTTTTATGTTTTTCCTTTAAAGGGATTAAACACATATAAAGTATAGTATGAGTCTCATTTTCTTCCCCCATTAGAGCTTATAAATGTGTACGTGTTATACTCCTCACTTGCCATCAAACATTCCAATTCTTTTTTTTTTTTTTAAAGATTTATTTATTTATGCATACAGAACTGGGGTATAGGCCAGAGGTGCAGAAGCGGCGAGAGGCTTCACCAGAGACAGAGTGAGGAGCAGAACAGGCAGATGGACGAAGTACACTGCTGAGGGGAGCAGCGGGCAGGTCAGGAGAGGTCTGCCACGCCATGTGGTCTCCTCCGGGGAAGGCGGGAATCGAACTCATGTGGAGGTGGCTTTAGCATCTCAGTGCTGTGCTTTAACCCGCTGCGCCACCCGGGAGGGCCAAACACAATTCTTAGTGTATTTTTTAGGTTTCCAAAACATCAGATACATGTGCATATTCTAGATTGGCTTTTCTCTCCCTGAAAATACTTGTGTATTGTCTGGTTAAAGGCATACCACTGACAGTAATGAATTACTCCTTAATTAGCAAAGGTATGTTTCATCTTTTAAAAATTCATACCAATTTTCATTCAACACTTTCAAAACTTTAACACTCTGCCACAGTTAAAATTTTATTGATTTTAAAAATGGTATCATGTAGGTTTTTATTCTAGTGAACTCATATTACAGTTCTCTACTACTGTACTTCCTTTTCCAGGAAATACTTTCTAATTCATCACAACTTTGATTGCTCTTTCTGATGTTTCCAAAACATTCTATTTGGCTAATTCGAGTACATTTACTTCATGAACTGAAATGAAGTGCTTGCCTGTGTACTCAGCTATACTATGATCTAACTTCCAGCATGTAGTACAGTTCTTAGGAAGGTGATTGGTAAAGGATGAACAAATGATTTGATGAATGTTTGCTAATATGAATATTACATCTAAGAAAAGCTCTAAGAGAAAGATATATACATATAAAGTGTGAAGTAGCCTACCAGCTTTGTGGAATATCTTAAATTTCATATCACAGTCTACACTAGAAGATAATTAGAAAACAAAATGATTGGACTCATTCTTTAAAGGAAAGTTTAAGTTCCTATAGTAAGACAGAATTTTGTATCTTCATTCTCTAGACCAAAAAGAGTTTATGTTCCAAAGCTGAAACTTGAAATCTTTACCGAAAATACTAAAAACATTTCCAAATTATTTATTCTCTCTGAAATATGCACTGAGTCTCAATCATTGAATGATGATGGATAAGAGAATAATCCTAAGCACAGTACTATGATGATGATGACAATCTGATAACAGTAGCCAACATTATCACATGCTACCAATGTGCAAGCACTATGTGTATTAAATGCTTTATTGGAATATCTCATTTAATATTTATATTGTAGCTGACAATATAGGGATGCTGATCATCTGATCAGTGATTGTGGCTTAGAGATGTTAAATAACATGTTCAAAGTTTACACAAGTGAAAAATGAGAAAGCCAGGTCTGTATTTTAGAACTTTGGTTTAGAGCTTACACTCTTCATCAGTCAATACTGCTTCCCCAATGATGAAAGAAACAGTAGATTTAAATTTTAATCAATTTTTGCCTTAGATCTTATCAAAATCTGTATTTTAGGCAACAAAGTTGAGTAGTTCAAAGGTAAACAGAAGGTTATAATAGGAGCAATAGAAAAGGCTCACTGTCCATTGCTATTTTCTCTTCGTTTAGAGAAAATTTATTAGAGGCATGGAATAAGGGAAAAGTAACTGAGCAAATAAACATTTTTATTTTGGGTTTTCTCTTAGTTTAAAGGGGTAATGCTTTGCTTTAATAAAGCAAATTTTAGTCTTTTTAGATAACAGGTACGATTGTTCACATTTTCATGACAATTCAACTCCCTATTTCACAGTTCATGAGGGTCAAGAAACAAATTTGTTCATCTCTACTTTAATGCACAGAAATAAACTATTCATCCAAACAGTAGAGACAAAGTTATTCTGGTATATTCAATATGCTTCAGATGTCAACTTACCAGAATTTCTCTTACATTAGGTTGGATTTTAAGAGAACATAACTTTCTCATTTAGAATTTTAATGTATTAGAACACTATGGTATAAGATCCATTTTATAAAACTTTGTTTTCTCTTTTTCTTTGTGCCTATTTTCCTGTCTCATTCTCTTGCAACTTGTTTTATTCCAGACTCTTACTGTCTCACTATGAATGCTTTTGACTGAAACTCTTAGTGTATCAATATACAAGGAAGTAATGATTAACACTATTATTTTGCTTTAACAGACTATTTGCCATTTTATTAATATCTATAATATCAGACAAACTATTTATCTCATAGCGTAACAGCAGACTTACCTTCTACTCGTTTTTTGTGCAGTGGGGGTCGTCCTTTCTTATTCCTTACTGAGGATGTTTTGCTGCTGCTACTTCCACTGTTCACAGACATTCTGTCATCTTCACCTCCAGTTACTAAAGAATTTCTATAGGAGATGAGGGGAAGCCATACATCTTCTCTCCTTTCCATCATCTGCTCCGTAAGGAATTTTTCTAGGTATGAGTGACTAGAAATATAATAAAAGATGCAATAATTTTCATGTGTTGTCATAACCTGAGGTTTCTCTCTGAAGTTTCTGAAGAATCCTTTAGGGACATACTGTTAACAATTACCTTTGGAAATAGTGACTAAGAACTTAAGATTTTGCTTCACTTATTTCTTTAAAACCTGTAAGAAGAAAATGTATTACTGTGGGTAGAAGAAAATGTATTACTATGGGTATGTGTATTCCTTCTGTGTATCTTCCCTTTGCTTCAATGGTGAATTCTGGAGCTTTACGTGCCCACTCCCTATCAAAACAACTTCTACATGTGAAAATTATAGAAGTCAATCATTTAAAGTAGTTAGAAGTTTTTCTAAGGATATATAGCTAATGGAGAAGCATTTATTCAAGAAAATCTACTAAATCTTAGAAAGAAGGGTAAGAATTTGCAACATTTGCATATGCTTCCTTATCTTGTTCTGTCTTTCCTCACAAGCTCGGCTTTATAAGCATAAGAAGATGGTGATGTGAGGGGTGAGGGTCATGGGGGCAAGGCCCAGGAAGAAAAAGATGAGCTGAACAGACCTATCACAAACAAGGAAATTGAAGAAGTATTTAATAAAAAATCTTCTGAAAAACAAAAGCCAAGGACCAGATGAGTTACAAGTGAATTGTATCAAATCTCTAAAGAAGTTATGTTTGATCAACTGTTTCTAAAATACAAGTAATGCTTCCTAATACATTTCATGATTATATTTTATTACCTTAGTACTAAATTAAAGCAAAGATGATGCAAGGAAAGGAAATATAGACAAATATCCCTGATGAACAATGATGCAAAAACTTCAACAAAATACTAGCAAACTGAATTCAACACTATGTCATGAGAATTGCATACCATGATTCAGTGGAATTTATACCAGGGATGCAAAGATGGTTCAATATACATATATAAATCAATCAATACAGTGTACCGATACTGTATTGACAACAGTAAGGTAAAAATCGTATCAAGAGATACAAAGCATTTGATAAGATTCAGCAGCCATTTATGTCAAAAACTCTAAACAAGATGGGAACAGAAGGAACCTATCTCAGTATAATAATGACTATACATTACAAACCAACAACCAATATGTTACTTAGTGGTGACAAACCTGAAATCTTTCCTCTTAAATGTGTGTGTTTTTTTTTTTTTAAAAAGATTTATTTATTTATTTATGCATACAGAACTGGGGTACAGGCCAGAGGTACAGGGGCAGTCAGGATTCATCAGAGACAGAGTAGGGAGCAGAACAGGCAGATCTACAAAGTACACTGCTGAGGGGAGAAGTGGGTGGGTCAGGGGAGGCCCACGGCGCCATGGGGGATCACCTCCAGGGAGGGGACTGAACTTGCACTGAAGTGGCTGCCACTAGCTTGCAGTGCTGTGTCCTAACTCGCTAAGCCACCAGAGAGGGCCTGAAATCTTTCCTCTTAGAACAAAACAAGGAGATCAACTGTCACTACTTCTGTTTAACTTAAGATGTTTTGGCCAGAGATATCAGACAGACAGGAAATAATAGGTAAAAGAAGTACAATTATTGTACTTGCACACCAACTGACATTATATATAGGAAACCCTAAAGATGTCATCAAATATGTATTAAATAATAGATGAATATAGCAAAGTGGCAGCCTACAGTAACATACAAAAATCTACTGTCATTTCTAAGTACAATGAGTAAGAAACAAAAGAAAACTCCATTTATAATTACTTCAAAAAGAATTAAATACAACAGAAAGTACAATTTTCTCAAATTCTTATCAACCACCCACCAAGGCTGTTTTATTCTGGACCATAAAACACACCTGCATATTTAAAAGAAATCACAGAATGCTTGTTCTTAGACCATGGAATTAAGCTAGAAATTAATTATCAGAAACACTGCTGAAAAATCTCAAAATATGTTGCAATCAAGCAATTTATTTCTAACACATGGATTAAAGAAAACATCTAAAGAAAAATTTAAAGATATTTGGAACTAAATAAAAAAACACAAGTTACCAAAATTTGTTACAGCAAAAGTAATGTTTGGAGGAAAATTAATAGCATTAAATGAACATATTAGCAAAAAAAAATCTAAAATAAAAGACTGTAAAGTGTACCCTCTACTTTCATAAACTAGAAAAAGAGGACCAAGTTAAAGTGGAAAAAATATAAAACTAGAATAGAAGTACATGAAGCTGAAAACTGGAACTCAATAGAAAAATTGGTAAAACCAAAAGTTGGTTCTTTGAAAAAAAAATGAGAAAAACTGATGTTTTTAGTGAGGTAAACCAAAAGGACACAAACTATGGCATTAGAAGTGAAAGTGAACACACTACTGTAAGATCCTATGGACATGTAAAGGAATACTATTGAATATAAATTTTGAAAATTTATAATTAATACAAATTTTGAAACTATGATGAAATAGATCAAATTCCCTGACAAACACAAATTGGCAAAACTTACAAGACAAATCTGCAGAAAACCTGCACAGGCATGTTTACATATTAGGTTTATTCCTAATTGCCAAAATGTGAACACAACCAAGAATAGGTGATGGACAAATAAACTGTGATATATCCAGATAACAGATTACTAATCAACATTAAAAAGAAATGAATTGTCAAGATACAAAAAGACATGGAAGAAATTTAAATGCATATTATTAAATGAAAGAAGGTGATTTCACCAGGTTCTCTATTCTGTGATCCCAATCAACTATACAATATTCTGGGAAAAGCAAAACTATGGAAATAGTAAAAGGATTAGTATTTGATAAGATGGAAGGAACAAGGAAGTAGTGATAAATACATGAAACACTGAGGATTTTAGAGAAGTAAAAATATACTATATGACACCATAATGTGTATATATTATTATACATTTTTCTAAACCCACAGAATGTATACTAAGAATGAACTGTAATGTAAACTATGAACTTATAATGTGTTGAAGTTGGCTTAGCAACTGTACCAAGTGTACGCTGGTGGTGGATACTGATAATGGGGAAAGCTATACATATGTAGAGTGCAGAAAGCATATTGGACTTTTCTGTACTTTCCCTTCAATATTGTTATGAACCTAAAATATTTCTAAAAAGTAAAGTTAAAATAAGCAATAAAACAAGTTCATACGCTATCTTGTTAGTCTAGAATTCTGTACACTGCCAACTTGGCCTATGAAGAATATAAAACAATTATAAAAATGCTTAACGAAAATAATTTCTTACCGGTCTCTCATCAGGTAAAGAAAAATAAATAAAAAATAGCAATGATTAAAAAATTTCAAAAGGAACCAAATGGAAATTCTGCAATTGTAAAGTACAATTAAAAAAATTTAAAATTCAGGCCCTCCCCAGTGGCACAATGGTTTAAAGGGCAGCACTAGGAAGCTGTCTGCACCCACTACAGCACAAGTTCGATTTCTGACCAGGAAGGTGATCCCCCATGGTATAGCAGACCACTCCTGACTTGCCCTCTGCAGTGTATTTTAGTAGATCTGCCTGTTTGGGTGGAAGATATTTTTTTTTTTAAAGATTTATTTATTTATGCATACAGAACTGGGGTACATGTCAGAGATGCGGAGGGTGAGAGGATTCACCAGAGACAGAGTGGGGAGCAGAACAGGCAGATCGAGGAAGTACACTGCTGAGGAGAGCAGCGGGCGGGTCAGGAGAGGTCTGCCTTGCCATGTGGATCACCTCCAGGGCAAGCTGGAATCGAACTCATGCGGAAGTGGTTTAAGCTTCTTTGTGCTGTGCTTTAACCCGCTGTGCCACCAGGGAGGGCCATTGGGTGGAAGATATTTTAGGAGAGATTATATGCATTCTCAAAATTAGAGAGAAAGAATTAAAAAAAATTTAAAAGAAATACTCAATATCATAAGTGAATCAACACATGAGTAATGAGGGTGTCAGGAAAAGAAAAAACAGAAACTTGAAAATATAATGGTTAAAATATGCCACAATTGTTTTTAAAAAATTAATGTATGCATCTTCAAAGCTCAAGGCGCTTAGAGCAAGATAAATTGAGAGGCACACAGAAACAGGCAAAACGTTGAAAACCCAAAGATGAAGAAAAAGTATCTTTAAATTAGTAAGAGAGAAACTCTTCACACACAAGGAAATTCCAGTGAGTTTAGTTTGTGAATTCTCATCAGACACAATGGAGGCCAGAAAAGAGCAGGATAACACAGTCTCTGTGCTGCCAGTAAAACAAACCAACAAACAAGGAGTGTTACCTAGCTTAAAATTAGACATCAGAGCTAAACATTAAATAAAGGGAAAAGTTGAAAGAATGTGTTGCTTGTTAACCTGCCTTTCATGAAATACTAAAGGAAAATCTTCATACTGAAAGCAAATGATACCATAGTAATCTGAATTTACATGAAAAGCAAAGAGTGCTTAAAGATAATTAATAGGTAGCTTTAAGAGACAAATATAACAACACATTTGCTAATCCTTTCTTTGAACTGATTTAAAAAGCAATTTATAAAACAGTATGTATTACTGTATTGTTTGGTCAACAACATAAAGAATAATATATTTCACAATAAACACAAAATGTGAGTGAGAACAAAGCTGTACTGTATATAAGGAAAAGATGCCAAAGTATTTCCAATCACAAGAAGAAATGAAGAGAGCCAGATATGTAAATAATAAGGTTAATATAACAACTCTATAAATACATACTTGGATCCCTTCTCTCTTTTAATTTAAAAGACCTATTACATCAAGTAACAGTTATAATGATTTAGTGTTTGTAACACATATAGATACATTATGTATAACTAGCACAAAAAAGGAAGTGAGGAAATGGTGCTATAAGGGAGTAAAGTTTTCTATTTCCACAGAATAAACATAAAGTAAAATTTGTAAGATGCAGACTATAAGAAAGAACACTGAAAAATACAATTAATATTTTTGAATGAGTGAAAATGTTAATAAAAAAGAAGGCAATGTAGGGGGGAAAACAAAGACATATACATGCAGAAAGAAAAAGCAATGGCAGAGACTTGGTTAAAAAACCCACGACTAAACTGCACAATGACTGCAAGCACACTTTAGATTCAAAGACAAAGAGGCAGAAAAGGGGAATGGGTGAAATGAATTAAACTGTGCAAGCTTTTTATAAAATAAAAAGTCTTGGGATGTTATATACAGAATGGTGAAAGTATATCTGAAAGTTGCTAAGGAAGTCATTCTTAAAAGTTTTCAAGAGAAAAAATATAGTATATTCTACATGTTGTGAATTTATAACTCAATTTTTAAAATAGTTGAAGAAAGTAAAGCATGGGGAAACAGTATACTAGGCTGTTATAGGTAATATAATAATAGATAGTATAAAGTGAAGTGGCTAATGAAAGACAAATATACAGAAAAGGACATTTTCTAATAAGTAAGAGTCAATCCATCAGGAACACTTAACAACACTATAAACACAATTATAAGCCAACTCAAACTAACAGACATCTATAGAAAGTCTACTCAACAACAGAATATATATTATCCTCAAGTATAAAGGAACAATCTCTAGAATAGACTATATGTTGGTTCATAAAATAAGCTTCAATAATTTGGTGGGGGGAAAAAAGAGTGAGACTGACCTATAATATGTGCAGAGCAGGGAGCAAAATACCTAAATTCTCCTCTAAGACATGTTTCCTGAGAGCAGAAAGGGAAATATTTAAAATGTATATAATAATAAATACAGAAAAGAAAAGGAGAAATTGTTAGATGATGTTTCAGTCAGTGTTTACACATCTCTGAGCTGCAGAGTAAGAAATAATTTACACTTGCTTAATAGTGCAATTTTAGGGTACTAAAGGTGAGTAGTAAAAGAGAAACTATATTAAAAGCTTCAAAGAAAACTACTGATTTTTTTTAGTAATTTATAAGAGTAACTTACCAAGAGTAATTATATCTAGTTGACAAAAAAATGTTTTCCAAAATTTATAATGTCAAGATAAAAGCCATTTCTTCTAGAACATGCTACTTACACAGTCTTTTTGTCCTGTCGAAGAAGCTTAGAAGAAAATTCACTTAGTACTTCCAGGAAAGCCAGGTTAGGAGGTGGATATTCTTGTCCTTTTTGATTTTGGTATTTAAAGGCGAATTCAATGCCATCCCTATGAGTAAAAGAAAATGTCATCATATTTTTTCCAGAGAGATGCTGTAGTCCTCTCAACAGTTTAGGATTTCACAGACAATTGAGAAGAATAGCAAAGTCTCACTGAAGGTAGAAGACAGATTCTAATAGTAAAATACAAATGAGATTACATTTGCATAACATTTAATTTTATTATTTACAGCTGAAAAATGTCACATGGCCCTCCTCTACTCCCTCCCCCCCCCCAAAAGGACACAAAGCTAAATTACCTAAATTACCACATATATCTTTTAGGGAAAGAGAGTCAGAAATTTTGGTTCTTAGAATTGGTTATTTAAGGGTTTCTGTCTTTCAGTTTTCAATTATGAAATGAAGCTGAACGAGTCAAGTACTGCAGTGTTTTAAAATCCATGACTTCCACATTTTCTCACCAATAGATCAAGCATGAATATTTCATTAAATTTTACCTCCTATACTTAATAAGATGAAAAAATGGGCAGCTGAAGTTTATTTTCAAATTAAAAATGCTTTCCTAGGTAAGAGTCACTAACATCCTTCTAATCTGAAAATTTATTATTTGTCACTTTATAAATAGGTCAAGGCAGTTATTTCAATTGAATTCTAATAAACTAGATTCTCTATGAAAGAAGGTGTTTAGTTAGGTCACTCACTTGTGAAGTGTAGCAACTGCTTCTCGTGTCTTGATCTGGTCCAGTCCAAATGTAAGGGCAAACCGACGTGCCAATTCCTTAATACCACTAACATGGGCAGATGTCCTATCCAGGTTGGGACCTTGCTCTTGCACAAGTTCATTAAACAACTGGTAGAAAGAAAAAAGAAAGAAATCTTATAACTAAGAAACATTTATTATTATAATAAGTAAAAAATAAAAGACATGGTAAAATAGCTATTTCCATCTTTGTACTGAACTGTATCAACACTGTCAGATTACTACTACTTATGAAACACTAATGTATTCTTCATGTTGTTTTTACAGCAGTGGCAATATGCAAAATATAGGTTTTAGAACTTTGTCATTTATTAGATCTTTGACAAGATTGTGTGACAGAAGTTATTTGGCCATACAGAGCTATAATTTTTTCCCACCAGTTATTAATATGTACAAAAATGTTCTTATGCTGTGTGGAAGGATTTATAAATTCACATACATTACAAAAATTGTGTCAAAATAATGACAAAAACAAAACCTTGGAATACTAAAGAAAAGTGAGGCAATTATTCTGCTACCAAAGCTAAAAATTTAAGTGCCATCTGCTTTTTTGATAGAACAATAGTCCAAGTTTTCATCTAAAGTCACTCCCTACTGAAAACTGTACCACCATAAACAAAAGAATGAAACTAAACCACTACCTCACATCATGCACAAAGATAAACTTAAAATGGATAAAAGATAAGACCTTTACATAAGACCTGAAATCATAACTATTTAGAATATAGGAATATAGAATATAGGAAAAACACTGTAAGACATACATTTTAGCAACATCTTTAAAGAGTCAACCTCAAAAGCAAAGAAAGTGAAGGAAAAGATAAACAGTTGGGATTACCTCAAACTAAAAAGCTCTGTACAGCAAAAGAGACATTCACCAAAACAAAGTAACACTCTGTTGACTGGGAGAAAATTTTTTCTGCTCCATACAACTGGTAAGGGATTGATCACAAAGATATACAAAGAACTCAAACAACTCAGCAAATACAAAGTAAACAATCTAGTCAAAAATGGGCAGAACTTAACAAACCTTCTCCAAAGAGGAAATGCAAATGGTCAACAAATATATGAAAAAGTGTTTAAAGTCCCTCATAATCAGGGAAATGCAAATCAAAACCACAATGAGGTATCACTTTACACCAGAATAGCACATACCTAAAAAACTAGCAACAAAACAAATGCTGGTATGGATATGGTGAAAAAGAACTCTCCCACACCGCTGGTGGAAATGCAAACTGGTCCAACCACTATGGAAAGCAGTATGGAGGTTCCTCAGACTACTGACCCAGGAATTCCACTACTAGGGATATATACCCAAAGGACACAAAAACACGAATTCAAAAGAATACCGTTTGAATTATGCCAGCACTATTTATAAAAGGTAAGACTTGGAAGCAACCCAAATTCCCAAAAATAGATCACTCGATGAAGATGTTGTATATGTACAAACACAACTATTAATATTATGCACCAATCAAAAAGATAAATGTATGCCATTCATAGCAACACGGATGGAGTTATAAGGAAAAATATTGGATGTTTTCACTTATAGGAGGAATACAGGGGAAACAAACAAGACATTCGGGAAGAAAATAATAGCCATAACAAAACCAAACAAAAATAAACAGGACAACTATAAATCAGAGACACTGCAAGGGAGGGATCAAAACCAGGGAGGGAAGAACACAAGGGACTATACTGATGAACTGGTGGTGGAAATTCTATAAGGACTACACATGAGAAAAGAAAGCAAACTTAAAAAAAAAAAATGAGAGAAGATATAAAATATATATATATATAAATTAAAAAATAATAAATATTTAAAAAATGTAGTCACTATACTTATATATATATACTGGGATCTCACTCTTTTTACTTACTCAAGTAAGTATGCTCTATTGAATCACTATCTATTCCCTCTCTATTAGATACATGTATCTTGAAAAAGCAAGAAACAAACAGAACACTAGCATCTAAACTATCTGCTCTGCTGGTCACTAACCCATTTTTCTGATTCTCTCTCTCTTTTTTTTTAAGATTGATTTATTTATTCATACAGAACTGGGGTACAGGCCAGAGATGCGGAGGGTGAGAGGATTCACCAGAGACAGAGTGGGAAGCAGAACAGGCAGATCGACGAAGTACACTGCTGAGAGGAGTAGCAGGCCGGTCTGGAGAGGTCTGCCTCACCATGTGGATCTCCTCCAGGGCAGGCGGGAATCGAACTCATGCGGAAGTGGTTTTAGCTTCTTAGTGCCAGTGCTTTAACCTGCTGCGCCACCAGGGAGGGCCCCATTTTTCTGATTTTCTTTAAAGATTCTGAAAGTACTGTTTACATTTGTTTTCTTCACCTTCTCACCTACCAATCTCTCAACTCAGTTCAATCTTAATCACTCCATTTCACTGAAACAGCTCTTATGCTGCCTCTGCCTTTTGAGTTTTCTCTTTAGCCAACAGACTGGGCTCTCTCTCTCTCTCTCTCTGACTGGGTTCATGCGCTCGCACTCTCTCTCTCTCTCTCCAGGTACCTTGCACCCCAATCACTAAATTAAGTAACTACGTATTTACCAAAATTAAGTAACTAGGTATTTACCAGCAGTCTTTGTTATGTAATATATGTATTATATGTCATATATTTCTTATTTAGATAAAACTTTGCCTGTTCCTCATTAAATACTTAAAAAGTATATTTTTACATTTTTCTTTTTAAATAGTTAAATACCTAATTTGATATTTCATTGGGCCTAAGGGTAGGGTTTCAGATATTTCAAATGTGAACTATAGGATTATCTTCCAGATTAAAAAAGAAAAAATATATGTGTATATATATATGTTGCATTCCTGTGACAGAGTATCCATAGTAATATAGTGCTATAATGATCTAATTTTCATTAGTTAAGACACCCACCACATACTGAGCACATAAAAACCTCAATATTATTAATAAATTCTCCATTTGTCTCTTTCTTCTTCTTTAATTTCTTACCTGCTGTAAACTGAGAATGAGGGTCTTGGCACACTGAATTTTATCAATCTGCCTGGTTTTACTCAGTGTTTCTTTAATAATATCACCGTAGTCATTGTAATACTGTGAGAAAAAGAAACAGCTTTAAAATTATTGAAACATCATTAGCTAAAGACTGGGATGGTAAGAAGTGGACAGGAGTTAAAGAGGTATTTAATTTTATCCTAAACATAATGGTAGTTGAAACCCACTGGCTAAAGTTAAAAGTAATAAACATTTGATATTTAAGATTATGAAATAAATAATAAAATTAAAAAGCTGGGAATTCCAAAAGAAGTGATTTAAACAAGCAAAATTCCTCATTTTTAGAACATGGATTTAACAGACACCATTGAAAAAGAAATAAATACAATAAAATCATATTAGACCTCATTCCCCTCTTAATGTTTCAACTTTACTACTACAATGTGAAAAACAAAAATATTAATATACTTAATAGCAACTGGGGAAAAATTACCAGTTCCTTTATAATTCAATTTTTTAATACAGGATTTCAAGAATTTTCCTTTTGAGTTATTATGAAAAGCTTTATTTAAAACCATTAAATCAAGATGTTACTCTCTGGAAAAACCTAAATCCTATGTGAAAATGAGTGTGAACAGCTTGACAACTGAATTTTTATCATCTTGAAACAGATAGGTACATTTCCATGATATAAGGTGTAAAAAAGGGGGGAAAGGCTTACGTAATCACCAGTGCAAATAATAATTTCAATGCAGAAAAAAAGAAATATTCAGACTCTCAAGTGGTTCAGCAGGCAGATCTCAAAAGTTCAGATATATAATGATCATACAGAAACATGGGGCAAAAAAATAAAACACACACAAGGATGTAAGAGAAGCAGTTACTGGAATACTCATTTAAAAAAAATAGCATTTAAAGAGCAGAGGTGTGCAACAATTGCCTAGAACAAAAATAGTTTTGCATAAGGATCATTTTTTGAAACCAATTTTGGTATTATCAAGAGATAACAAGGAAAAACCAAGATAAGCTCTTCTTCATCCCTCCAAATCCTGTGTAGACATTACTTTAGGATGCCTTTTTTAGGTCCCCGGAAGCCCCGAGGCAATGCTAGCTTTGCAATTTGTACATCTGTTACTACAGTAATCATGCTGAGGCTTTATAGTCCAGTGGAAAGAGCTAAGCTTTTAAGCCAGACAAACCTAAAATCAAATCCAGTTTTTGCTACTTTCTTCACTCCTGCGAATGTTAATTTCCTTTCTATAAATATAAAGCATGATGTTTCACACCTCACAGGGCTACTGTTATCAATAAAGCTGAGAGCTTTAGAACAGTGTTTCAAATGTAAATGGCACAGAATATAGGCAACTATTCATTATTAGCATACTATTTTTTAATATGTTTAATCTCAGTTTCTCTTAATTTATCTATATGCTCCTTAGTGCAGATACCATCTTTATTTAAATGCCTGGCTACCAGCATAGTGCTTATCACACTTCAGTTACTTAGCAAAATAGGATGAATTAATTATTATGCCACAATTGGAACTGGATCGTATCTTAACATGAATAAACAAGTTCATCAATGGCACATACAATATACTGAACATGGGCAAAACGAAACACTTTCTGATATGAGAACAAGGCCAACTCATATAAACTAAGAAGTGTTCCCTTGTATCTACACATGTCAGGCAATACAATAAAGGTTTCTTGAGAGTCAGGAATGAAATGGAGTTTATGAAAAGGAGAGAAGCTAGGAGGGTGAGTACCTATCAAAGTCCATTAAGAAAAACGACTTAAAACCTTTCCTTAGCTTCCTCAGGAAAATAGATCCATGCCTCTCATACAATACATTAAGATCTAACATGTCACCTCTTTTAAATCTGGCCTCTTAAGCTATCTATGTTGCTATATCCAATTACTTGCATTTCCCTCCAAAAATTCATCTTGTGTCTCAGACTTAGTTTAGAAGTCACTTCTAAGCTGTTTTCACTAATCTTATTCATTAAGAATTGGCTTGTTGAGAATCCCCAATACATATCTTGTTGAGAATCCCCAATACAGACCTCTATTAGTTACACAATAATGTAACTTACTTGTTAACTGATAACATCAATCTTTAGATCATTTCAGAGCAAGACTTTATTATCTTAGTGCCTGACAGGCAGCATGGTTCATACTAGACATATTTATAAAACAATTTGAAGAGCTGTCATAAAGTAGAGTGACTTTCTTCCATGCTAATCATGAAAACAAAAAGGTGATTTCACATAAATGTGAGAAACTCCTGCTTTATAAAATGGATATAATGGTACAATGATTAAAAATTAATACATATAACAGAAAGAAAACTTAATACTACCAGAAAACCATGAACTAGTACAAAGGCAAATGCTGTTAATTTTCGCTTTTATCATAATTCTTTCATTTTTAATTGCAAACATCTCTCTCTGCCACTGAGATGGAAAGGGAAAAAAGAATATGAAACTATACCTTCATGTAGTGTTTAAAGATATCTGCAGCTGCATGCATATCAACAATATCATAAATGATAAGTTTGCTGAAAGCAGCAAGTAGATTCCTTCTTTTATGTAAGGCCTCGATTTTATTAGCTTCATCTTCCTCATCACCCTCTAACCAAAGAAAATAAATTGGTTATGAACTTTAGCACATTATCTAAGGTAAAACAAGGCATATAACCTATATAATTGAAAATCAGCTCACATTATAATTACAAATTGGTACAATTCAGTTAAAGATGGGATAAAAGCTGGAGTTATTTTTTTAGTGTGATATATTTAGTAACACATTTATATTAAACATTCACTAGGCACTAAGTTTCCTATCGTCTGGAGACTGTCACAGCAAAGATTAAGATAAACAAGCAATAGTTTTTTTCTCACATTTTTGTCATAATAGTATTATTGTCTATTTACTCCTAAAATATTATACTTCTAAAATATATTTGATTTCCATATTCCTGTAATCACTATATTCCCAACAGAGAAGAAATTCCAATAAAATTTTTAAAACTAAGGGAAAGTCTTCTTTTAGAAAAATATATGGGGAGTAATAAATTTGGAGGAGTTAATGTTTAGTATTTGTTTGAAACATGATTATATGATTAGTTGAGAAAATTTATTTTGCTAGTCACAGTATGCACAAGTAAATAAAAATCTTTACTTTCAACATGAGTAGTGTTCCTTAGTTTTTTAAATCTTAGGGCTCACTGGCTTGTCTATTTCTAAGCTAACAGAAACTTCTTAACAAGCATCCATATGATAAAAGGTAACATTTGTTTCAGGTTCTATACTGACCACCTTAATACTTTGTCCTGCTCTCATTTTGGGGACAATTTTTGTTCTTCCCTCCTTTACATGTATATATTAATAAAATAATTTACTTTCAACTTTCTCTTTTCTTTCTATTAGTTGGCCCAGTTGTGAAGTATCAATACTTTATGCCGGAAATATTTTTAATTAATGCCAGGAGGGGATAAGTTTTTCATCCTGAGGTTAATATGGACTCTAAATAAAATACTTTGCAGCACATTCTAGTATTTTATGAAATGTTTTGTTAAGAACATTTCCAATAGCATCTAACAGATCTGTGGATCAACTACACTGCAGGTTTTATTTTCAAAGCTTAAACTGTTATTTCACAAATAACTCATTCTAAATAACATTCTTTTTTATTTTTCCCCTAATTTTGCTAAGATAACATTCTGTAGGCTCAGCATAATTCTGACTGGTCAGGTGTCATAACAGTCTTATGGCACTTGATGTTTTTCAGCTATATTTTACTACTTTAAGTTAACATATGACCATTCATAGATAGTAACCTGGATGTTTCCCTTTAGAAAAAAAATGTGAACTTGGTGTTCAGTGAGAAACAATATTTATATTACATCTACATTTTGCTTATGAGGGAAATGACCAATGTATACGATTCACAAAGCATAGTTTGTAACATGAGATTTATAATGAGATGGATAATATGAAATGTACTATTGCTAAACTTAAACAGTATGTAGCTGTCAGAAAAATAACAAGGAAGCTCCTTATGTAGTAGCAGGAAGATATCTAAGGTATACCATGTTAAAGAAGAGGAACTTCACTGTGCATATTTTAACTCTTACTGGTTTCTGAATTACATAAATATATTTTTTTTAAAAAAGAAACTCTAGTACTAATTTTCAGGATTGAATTATAATTATAATTTGTTCCTTCTATCTTTGGAATTGATAAAAAAAAAGTATCATTTTTGACAATATGACAGCTATAAGTACCCATGCTTTGGTTCTCCTCATCTTGGTCAATGAAAACGTGATCCATCACAAAACTGAGGAGTTCAGACTGGAGTCCAGTATCTGGATTAAACACCAAAGGCTGAAGGCCCTCCCTGCCACCTGTCATTAACTGGTGGCTAAAAATCATTAAAAGATCACAGAGTAACATGAAAGCCTAGAAAGCAAAGGGAATTCATCATTAAATTATAATACAGATAGTTAAACTACAAATCAATACTACTGAAAACATACTAAATTAGCATAGTACAGTAATAGTACCATAACAGAAATATTAACTATTTAAATTCTAACTTCTCAGTTTTCCGAACTGAAAAAAAAAAAAAAAACAATACTTTTTTTCTGCATTCAACAAATATAATTTAAGAATTTCAACCTCTTGTGTACAATCTAGTCTTTTAACTTGGAGTATACCAAGTCAAAACTGCTAGTTAAGAGATTTTGACTTGAACTTTTAAAAGAAGAAAAAGTTAAACTGAATCAAAAAATACAAAATTAACATAATTATGACAAAGTAGGAATAAAACATACTTCTTAATCAAATAGCTAGCACAAATCTTAAAACTATGCAATTCAACAAATTATAATAAAGTACTATAAATCTGTTAGGTCTGTTAGGACTGTAGAGCAATATCTTCTTTAAAAATCTAATTTAAAAACAAAATCCCTAATAGTGAGCTTAAAATTTAATTCAAGACTGTTCACATAAAAAGCCACTATCTAAAAGCCTCCCAACAATTTAACATACAAGGGACACTTTCAACACAGTTCTCCAAATAGAAAGTATTATTAGTTAGATTGCTAGTTTTGCCCTATTTAACGGATGGTATGACATAAATCAGTGTCACTGTGTATTGACCAAAAAATTGTGGGATAACTGAGAGCTGATAGATGAGAATCTAATCCTCATCATGCTAGCACTCCAAATTTATTTCTATGGGAAAACACAAATTTGCATGTGTTGAGATGGCTATATACTGACTAGTCTACTCCAATCACGAATTATGGTATTTTATGCTGTGACTATACAACTATAAAATACTTGAAAAAGGGGAGAAAGTCTTCCTCTAGTCACATTTAAGCCCCTTGCCCAATCTATTTCTTTTATTTGGCTGCATTAACTCAAAACAGCTGGTTAAGAGTTTTTGCCATGAAATTTTTTTTTAAATCCAGGGGCATAGTTTTGGATAAGATCAAAAAGTGATGACATATAAACAATAAAGTTCTAGTTTAAAAGTCCATAGATTGGTAAGTATTAGCATTTGGAGGGTTGAGAAGGTTTAGAAAATAAGGGTTAGAGAAGAACATGTCTCTTCTTAATTTATGAACCCTAAAACACTGAATTATGATTCAATTTTATTAAGGAATGTCGCTATCTCAATTAAAAAAGAAACCAGTGATAACTTGCTTGCAAGAGGAGATATTAATGGTTAAATACTACTGTACCCTTTACTAGACTAACAAGACTATAGAGCAACATCATAATAAAAACCAGTATGGAAACGAAACATTTCATATAAAGATGCTTCTTAATAGAGTGCCAGGACCTACTCAACCAGTGGGTTGTGCCCACTTGCACTTTTACATTACTGTCCAGTTACAGAGACTCAGGGATTCCTTGTTTTTATAACAGACTGGATTCTCCTGCCTGAGTCTACAGTTCTTTCATCTGGCACAATGCACCACCTAAATGTGTATATTCTTAGGTCCCCGGGGTGCTCAAAGAGCAGCTATCTAAGTGGGGTCATGTTGACCGAATTTGGAGATGTGGGTGGAATTGTCAGAGATGGACCTGTGTTATAAAACTATAAAAACAAAAAACAACTGACTGTTCTTGAAAGTAATTGAATTATTTTTATGGAGAGCTTTTAACTGATAATTTCTTACCTGTTCCTTTACTGGAGTATTAACATTAGACAGGCACTGCTGGCAAACAGCCAGAAAGGATTTTACTGTTTTCCTCAATACCAACAAATCCTCCTGTAAGACATATTCAAATTTATAAGCATGAATCATAGCATCCTAGAAAAATGATCAAAAAGAAATAAGTAGGAAAGCACTAACTTGGTTAACTGTCAAAGAAATTCATAGAAATAAATTAATTGTTGAGAGTCAAATCACACAGGTTTTCACCTAGTTATCCTAATGAATGGGGCGGCAAAACTGATAATCCCAAACATTCACTGTTCTGTTGAATTATGTACTGCTCAATATGATTCACTTAGGCTGATATTAAAACTGCTGGTAATTCCTGTAATACATACCAGCTGGTAGTAAGTTAAGGGAGCACAGTAGTATATTGAAAAAAATCAATTAAGTAATATATATTCTGAATTTCTCGTGTTTTCTTCACATTCTTCCAAGTGTTAAGTGAGATAACTTTCAGACACTATCCATGCTCTCAAAGAGTAACCATCCTGGCAGGGCGTTAGATCATTTGGAGAATAATTAAGTATTCAGTATTTTTGGTATTAACTCTAACTAGCAGAGAGTTGAGTTGAAGGAACCTTCATTAGAGAATGATCTTTAATCTAAGACTGGATGAGTGACTAGATTTAAATAGATGGTTATATAATATTCAATGAAACATTTGAAAACTTTAGAAGAAAATTTAAGTTTATGAGTAATGTGTCAAGCACTGGGTATGACCATTTATTATTATATAAGTACATATTTTTAAGACTAAAAGAAGTAGTCATTATTAACAAGGATTTGAAAACAGGGCTGCCTGATATTAGAGTGCATATTCTTCTGACTAATGAGCATGTAACTCAGGATTATACTGATATTTAAAATAGTTAAGAGTGATTAGATGAGCAAATGATATGGAAATAACTTTTAAAAGTACTATATTAAACTAAAATTCTTCAAGAAAGTATTTTGTACAAATGACAATTGTCATGTCATTCCTCTTTTGGATCAAAACATTCCGAATAATAATACTTTAAAAATCACTGATATGTTTCCAATTGCTAACATGAAGGCAGTTTTTAGAAGAAGCCTATCCAAGCATAGTAGTAAATAGAATAAGGCATTAAGCACCATCAATGTTCCTGCTGACGAATATCAAATACCAAACCTCAACATTCTTTGACCTTTGATTTCAAAGTAACAATGCATTAGGGAAATTTAACAAGGAGCTAGACTGTAGTGAGTTAGAAGGAAGATGAGCAAGAAGCAACCCTTTTTAAAAAGGTTGACTCAGAATAGTAAGAGAAAAGGATTGTAGCCAAAAAGTCTTTTGGGGATGATCAAGAATTTGTCATTGACCCTTTATATAGAAAATATTTGAGGATGTTTGCTGAATGAATAACTTGAAGAAAAAAAAGCCATAAAGTAAGCCATGCTATTTACTAGCTATGTGACCTTAGAAAAAATACTTTATATAGCAGGATTACAGATTTTTAAAAATCAAAAACAAGCTGATTAATTAATTCCTATGCACACAAATGAAAACAAACAGGTGTTAACTGGTGACCCTCCTATTATTCATCAAAGAAAGAATGTTCCCTTTTTCACTGTTAATACATGGAATAGCACAGGGCATATGGCAGGTATTTAGTAAATATTTACTGAATTGGAAACAGGAGTAGGAAAAGTTATCACAAGGATAAACACCAGAGGTGGTGGTGGGGATGATTAATGTATCTAAAGCCAAACTTTAGCCTTTAGACTCAGTTTTCGGGAATCTGAGGTGGGGTCAGAAAGGATTATTAGAAGAACAACTAATCTGACCACAAGGTGATAATTTCCACAGTAATTTCATCAAAGAACACTATAAAAGAACACTAGTTGCTCTGACAAAATTCAATTCTCCTGCCTGCCTAAGTCATGCAGGCATTTTTTTATTAAATACATTAATTTATGTATCTATTTACATTGTTCACTTTAAAACAATGTCTACTTCTCTCCCCAAGGGATCATGATGCTCAGTGAAATAAGTCAGAAGGAAAAAGAAAAACAGCGAATGGTTTAACTTATAGGAGGAATATAAGGCATTTCTTTTCTTAAACTTATTCCTTTCAAAAATGTATTCTTGTCTTTTAAGATTGCCCACCTCTATACAGAGATCTGTTTTTTCTTTTACCCCACCCACTGAACTCCATCATTTGAATCCCAACATCCGTAGAGGTAAGAATACTACAATCCTAGAGGCAAATATACAGAATGCTAATCTTATCAAACAATAAATAGAACTAATAAAAAGATGCTAGGATTTATAAATGCTTCTTTATTCTGTTAACTTTTTAGTGTGCAAAGAAGCAACAGAGGAAACTGGCTACCTTGAGAATTGGAGGCAAAAGATTCCTTTAAAGTTAATCAAAGCAAATGTATTTTATGTATAATTGTAGAGTTCTTTAGAGCATCCTTTCCTCCCAACAATTTTAACAAAAAGCCAGTTTATCTGAAGAACTGTAAATTTAACATCACAACAATATAAGTAATCTATCAGTAAATAATCAGTAGTATTATTTTACGAATAAACTGGAAACAGACAGTAACCAAGGTAATAGAAGAAACTCACTGCTTTCTTTAGTAGTCGTTTGTTTGATTTGGATATAACCTAAATATTTTAGTGCTTAAGAAAGTTAATTTAATTTTAATAAATTATACTCCATTGAAATAATTATGATTACTATCAGATTTAGGTAAACTGGCATAGATACTATAAATTGAGCTGCTAGGTAGTCTCAAATGATAAATTCTTTGAACAGCTAGGAACAGAATTTAGGTTTTTGTGAATTTCAGAATACAGTAACTTTTACTTATCCCACAACTTTCTACTTTTTTATGCAGACATCTTTTATTTAATTTGATTTAAATAGATGTAATTTGATTCCCAAGAATGCAGATTTAGCTAAATTAAGGCAGGAAGCCATTACTAAAGCATGAGGTAGTAAATAATCATTAGAAATTTTCAAATTTAAATAAAAATTTTAAGAGATTCAGGATTTGTCACTTTAAAACTCTAGCATCAATAAAAAAATTTTAAAAAAGATTTATTTATTTATACCTACAGAACTGGGATACAAGCTAGAGGTGCTGGGGAGAAAGGATTCACCAGAGACAGAGTGGGGAGCAAAACAGGCAGATTGACTGAAATCCACTGCTGAGGGGAGCAGTGGGCAGGTCAGGAGAGGTCTGCTGTGCTGCCATGTGGATCACCACTGGGGCCACGTATGGCTAAAAACGCATGGAAGGCGCTGCAGCCAGCTTTGCCGTGCTGTGCTCTAACCCATTGTTGGAGCAACGGGGTGGGGGTGTCCATGTGAACTTTATTAATCCCTCTTGAAAAATAGCAATAAATGATAGTAAAGAAAATAAAGGAGATACAGTAAGATTCTGAATAGGTGAATTAACAAGAGTTTAGACAGTGAAAATTAGTAATCTACTTTGAACTCCTTTAAAATATAAGTTATTGACTTCTCAAATTTGAGAAAACTTGTCATCTTCTGCATAGGAATGTACACAGAAAGGGTAGCCTGATAAGATGGAATACTTTCTCTTTATTGTGATAGTTATATACCAGTTTGAAAATAATTAAATATGCTTATGGTACATTAAACTGAAGGAGGCTTACAATAGGAAGGTCTAGAAACTGGAGGTGAGGGTAGAAATTATTAACATTAAACCAGCTATAGAAATGAAAAATTCTTAGGGTCAGGAGATGGGGACATCAGAATTGTCAAATGACTGCTATAGAAAGGGGATATGGAGTTTGAGGGTCATTACTGAGAATCACAGGTCCTCGTTTAGCTAATCTAATATGAGAAGGTTCCATGTTCCCTATCCCAACTAATGAAGAAGTGGAGCTGAGCAGCTAGGGGACTGCTAAAAGGACTTGGGAGAGAAGACCTGAAGGAGGCAGAAAGACATGTGAAGAAGTTTTTGTTTTTTGGACTTGGACTTGCACCATGCACTTGGGGGGACATGGAAGAGATGCACATGAGACTCCAGGGAGGCTACAATGGCAGCCTTTATCTTGACTTGTATTTTGATTTTGTGCTTTTCCTTGCAGACTTACCTGGCCTCTTCTGGCCCTTTCCCATGGGGTTCCCATCCAGAAGAAGCCTTAGTACTATCGTCTTCAGCAGCCTTGCTTTTGACCAACCCTGTTTGACAGGGGATATACCCATGAGAGGATGGGTAACTTTGGGTGTTTCACTGGGTAACTATTATCCTTTCTTCTATTTTTATGCACACTAATACCACTGAAATTCTTTTCTACTGAAGGTCTTATTAAGAATACATTTTGGAGCCCTACCTGGTGGCGCAATGGGTTAGGACACGGCACTGCAAGCTAGTCACAGCTGCTTCGGTGCAAGTTTGATCCCTGGCCCTGGAGGTCACCCACATGGTGTGGCAGTCCTCTCCTGACCTGCCCGCTGCTCCCATCAGCAGTGTGCTACATCGATCTGCCTGTTCTGCTCCCCCACTCTGTCGCTGGTGAATACTCTCACCGCCCCTACACCTCTGGACTGTACCCAATTCTGGATGCATAAATAATCTTAAAACAAAACAAAACAAAACAAAACAAAAACAAACCTAAAAAACAAAAACAAGAATACATTTTGTTTTTACATGGTGGATAGCAAAGACATTTAGAGCATGCCATGTTTGGGTACCCTTCAGGCTGCATGCTAACACAAATTAACCAATCACACCCTAAAAGTGATGAATTTAACAAGAGGTAAGAGTGTCACAAAGGAAAGAACCTCCCCTCTATCTGCTCCTGTCCTTTTCTCTCCCCTGCAAGACAGAGTATCAAAACAATTTCAACAATCACAAAAAATCCAACTCTTGTACCAAGACTGCCCACTTGTGTCTATGCAGTTGTTTTCTTTCACAGACCTTTTCCTTTTAAACCAGCAGTAGTTTTCTGCCCTTTCACCTTTTCCCAATGAACCTGTCCTTTTAAAATGTGACCTTTGCCAGCCTGTGTCTGTGCACAGGTAGCTGTCTCCAGAGTATATTTGCTG